ATTTTCACAGTAATACTTCTGAAGACTGCTGAGTCTAATTGGACCCATGAGCAGAGTTTAGGTGGGTAAGGATTGTGACTAAGAGTTCTGGACTTCAACAAGTCAGACAATTAGTGCATCCATTGTCATATTACTATTTCCCAGCTTGACACCCAGACACTGGCATACACTGTTGCTCTGTTGCCTTTCTGGCTGCAGCAAAGTCAGTTGTAAAGGTTACCACCTGCCATCCAACCTGCAGCTGTTCTTCACTGTCCTCATAACTGCACGTGTTCTCTCTGCCTGTGCCTCTTCTATCAACATGATCCTGTAGTTTTCAGGAACTTTTAAAAACTTATTGTCAAAGATAAAACAAAAATTACTTGCTTTAACCACATCTATTCCTGACAGCATATGCCAGGCGTGAGCATGAGGGAGAAGAATTAATATAGAGGCCTTTTTAAGATAAAGAGACATCTTACAGCAATCTTGATAGCTTGTCCGTGTGGAAATCAGATTGCATACCAGGTGTTTTGTAAGCAGAACACAGTAATTTAAAGGCAAAATTGACCCTTTGTGACCTGCATGATATGTGGAGCTAGTGCACATGTTCTTCTTTTTCTCTTCTGTGCAGCTGATGTGTTTCAGAAGTAGCGTGTACATGTCAGATCTGCAGAGACAGGTAGTTACCTACTAATATAAAAGTAAGTCCAACTTCTCTTTAAATACCCTGATGCTCCAACAAACAAATCTGCCTTGGACCTTGCAGTGGCTCATCATAAGCTGTCTAATACCTTATTTTAAACCTGCTACCATCAAGCAGAGATCAGCTGTAGGTATTTTAACAAGAAGCTGCTCTAGCTGATCCTTCATTTTAATCTGTGATAAACCTGATGTCCTGGAACTGCCTGATCTCATGGGGAGGAAGAAGACACTTGGAGGAACTATTTGTTTACCTACATAAACACAAACACATTCTTGTTTTAGACCAGAAGCTGTTCGAGGCAATGACTGTCATGCATTATGGCTGTGTCTACTGTTATTTTAGTGTAGGGCTTCAGTTTATCCAGAGGTCCAGATTCTCCAGTGTCCCTACTACCAACAAAAAAGCTGGCTTCAACTTCAGAAAGAGTCAAATGGCCGCTTGGGAAAGAAAACTAAAGTTGAGAAGTGGGTTTACTCACATTTCAGCAGTGATCCTACAAGTAGTATGGGTGCCATTGTGCTCATACTCATGCCCCACACTTCTTGTTAATGGATATGTAGGATATATAATAGTGCTTAAATTGTTTGCAGCTTCTGGGTAGACCGATACTACTCCTGTTCAGAATATGGGGTTAGGAGACAGCGCGAAGCAGTTGTGAGTTGTTCTTAGCACAAGACATTAAGATGCTGCTGTTGACAAATAGGCAGAGAATATAGCATCCACTTTTTGAAAAAACATGCTATTTCTGTGGCCTTTTTCAGGCACTTCTGGGCACAAATCTATGTTTCTGCCTAACCTTTGACAGCAATAGGAAGTGCTTTGAAAGTGCTTTAAAAGGCTTGATGCTGTTGTGATTCACTTAGCTGCACTAGTATCTGAGGACTAAGTGTGTGTTCACAGTAACTCTTAGATTATAGAGCTGTTTCTAACAGGGACTTAGTCTTGATCACATGCAAACAGAATAAATAGAATTAGTGTTTATGCAGCCTTCTGTAGATCTTCACTCTTTTTGTGTGGGGCGGGACTACTGTGAGTCAAACCCACCACTAATTTATCAAAAAGAGTTATAACCAACATTCAGCCTGAAAAACTAATCCTGTGAACTGTTGTTTCTGACATATTTGTGATGGATGGTTGAGAATGGTACCTTGGAAAGAGAGGTGCAGATGCACCTGTGCCCATCCCTCCTTATGGGTTTTATGGTGTCTCAGAAGAGCAAAACTCACTTTGCTGAGTGACACCAGGATGAGACCTGTCTCTCTACCCCATCTACTGTTTTGATGCAAGCTTTGAAGTAGTTCTGGGATTTGTTCGACATAGATAGGTTTAAATGTTGCTTGGTGATGGGGTAATAAAAGTCATAGAGACATATACAACATGAGTGCACGTCTTTTTTCCTAACGAAAGCGGGCTAGGAGTACGTTACAAGAAGATCACTAGCAGGGCATTAAAATGATAGGCAGTGACTCTGAAATATGCCCTGTTTCCCATGTGTAATTCACTGTCGTAACTGGCCATATTCTCAGAGGGTGTAAATTGATAGAGCTTCACTGGAGTCACAGTCGCTAGGGCACTTTGTAGGCAGCGGGGAACCCAAATGTGCTGCTCCAAAGAGAAAGTTAAGCCCCCCTTGTGCACAGAAGGCTGGAGAAACTGCCCTTTTCTGCCTTTGCACTTCACATCCTCCTAGCGAATGTAAAAGCCCAGGTCCCCATGGACCATATGAGTGTCAAAGCTATGGGGAGCCCTGGGGCTGTGGTCCCAGCACCCTCCACAGTGCTGTCCCAGGGTTTAACTTCACTAGGACACATGAGGGCTTAGGTTTCATGCTTGGAGTCACTGCTATCTCTAAGCAGAGGGGTCATTTTGCTACACAATGGGCATTGCCAAAACTACAGCCATGACAAATGTGAAACATGGTGTCAAATGCAGAATGGGTGGGCTCTGAGTTCCTAGGGGTGTCTTTTGTCGGTGACAAAGTGAGCTTGTGCAACATCTTTCCAAAGCATTAACATGCTGTCTTGATGCATCCGTCCCTGGCGCACTAACTGGCAAGTGGCTGAAAATAGATAAGCAAAGAGAAAGGGCCAGATTTGTGAGAAAAACAAGAGATACACCAGGATTGTGTCTGGGCCCAGATATTTCAAAATTAGTTGGAGAGAACCTGATGCTTCTCTGATAGATACATAACCAGGAAGAAATTTGAGACAGTTATTTCAAGGAATGGCTGAAATTTCTAAGGCTGCATGAACAACATCGCGCTCTGTTCAAGGAAGGGCTCAGACTGTGGTGCAGTGGCATCAGAGCTATCTAACCACTGCCATGATCCCACTCTCCCCACCCCATCCTCAGCTGCCCACTTCTGCCTCCCTTCTTGCACTTTTCTGGCAATTGTAAGTTTTGCACTGAGCTGGTTTGCAGTGCTAACTAGACAGAAAAAGCCAACTGATGTAGCAAGCTGAAATGTCTCAGCAGAGACCCCAACAGTGGGAACGCATGAGCAGGGAGGGATGGGAGCATAGAAACATATCTTCCAGTACTTAGATTACCTTTGGCTGTCATGGAATCACCTCCAGCACACCTCTCTAACAGGATACAGGGAGGACATCTGCACGATTGATAAGGCCGCTGTGTATCGTGGCTGTATGGCTACCTCCTCCCCACCGCCATCCCAACTGGCTGTTCCAGCCCCTGTATTGTAGCACATGACAAATTCCCTTATGTCAGCTGCAGGCTGGATTGGGGAACTGATCCCACTTGAAAGAAAATAAGTATATTTTTCTGAATAAGATTTATTCACTGATCTGTTCACCAACATGTTTGCACAATCATGTAGACTGGAACAGCTGGGGGAGCAGCATGCCAATGAAGTTAGGTGAGAATGAGTAGTACAGGATGGTAGTTGAGGAAACAAGAAAGGCAGTAATACCCAGGGATGGTTTTGCCCCTAAATACTTTTAATAAGTAATACCAAAGCAGAGATACAAAGATTGACTCCTCCAAGGAAGCAAGTCATGTTGGAAAATATGCTTTAATTGATGCATTGCTAAATGCTGCTTAGCATCATCTGTAGCCAAATTACTAGCGATTTTCCTTGGTGGAGGCTAGGTCTTCTTTGTTCTGCTCTCAGAATCTTGATCAGATGTTTGTCAGGAGTTGCAGTGCTGCTCAGGACATATGGCAGCCCTTTTGTATTGAAAACATCCAACTTTCTGATCATGTGTTGCTGTGTTATAGTGTGCTTACACTGCAGGCAGCTGGAATAAACAGCTTGGAAAGGGGAAACCCTTATGGGCACAATGTGTGGAGGTCAGTGCAATCAGTACAAAGCCCCCATCCACTTGCTGGGTACCTTTGCAACTCAGGAGGCTTGAAGCTGTACCACACCGAGTGCCTGAACTACCAAGGGGCAAACAAGGTTTTGAAGCAGTACCTGTCTCTCCTTGTCCCTTGAGGGCCTGATCCTCCTCTGGGATGGGACATACTTATGATGTACAGCCCCCTTCAGCAGCTTAGCATTCTCCATCCTAGAAGCACTTCAGCTTCTCACTCTACTCCTCCTCTTCTATAATTTTGCCCGCTGTAGTGGCCTGAACCTCCTTCTCTTTTCCAGCGGATGTATTTGTCTAAGTTTGTTAATGGGCAGTTTATCGCCCTTTGTTCTTCTGTGTATTTTGTTAGCTAAAGCAAAAAGCTCTTACCCTTCCCTGGCTTTACCATTCCTGTGTTCCCAGACAGGAATTTCTTCCAGCTAGCCTCTGCTGATGAGATAGTCTGTACCATTTAAACAGATTAAATGAACCCGGGCAGATTGTAGTGCACAGAGAGTGTCTTGTCCTGCCATACACAGTGGCAAAGCATGAAGTTGAATCTGTTGCTTTCTCTTTGCTTGCTATAATCACAGTTTATTAGGACACACAGTTTGTGTAGAGGCATGCCCATGTTCTGTCTTCTGGCCTTCCTCTTGGGATGCCCTGGACTGAAAAACAAATAGCGAGGGAGAGACAGAGAAGCAAAATCACCCTGTGAGATATAAAAGAGGGAGACGGGAGATCCTGGATAATATCTGAGTTCCTTTGAAGTGAAGGCTGAATAGATTAGGAAAAGTGTAATTGAATTAAAGCCACTCTTTTTTAGAGTAGATATACTTTTACCCTGGCTAAGCAATTTCCTGGTTGAGTTTTTTATCACTTCCCAGCACCTGCTCATTTCAGAGGGCGACACTCCAGAGATTACTCTGAGCCAGTGCCAACAGCCAGCATTTCTCACTCCCCTCTCGCCCGCCTCCACCGCCTGCACTGCTCTAGACACACACCCTGATATAGAATGACAGCACATTGCCACAATTTAAATGACGCTGCCTCTGCCTCTTCGGAAGGACCAGTCCTCCAGAGAGCACCAGCCACAGCAACTGTCCACCCTTGCAAAAAACGTCTTCATCATGGCGTATAAAGCAGCACATTTGGCCTTTAAGTCACGCTGGCACAAGACAGACGAAGAACTCTGTCGGCACAGTATGTCCTTTGTCTTGCATAAGGCGATCCGAAATGACTTCTTTCAGAGTTACCTTTATCTGCTGGAAAAGCTTCCCCTGGGTGAGTAGCTGGTGGGCAGGAGCGTCTGTGTGCGTGTGTGACCATGCTCTGGAAAGACGTATCATGTTAGATGGTAGAGCGCAGACACATTAATGACAGTAAGTAGTAGTTTGAGAAGCCCGGCTAGAGAGACTGCAGTGCTAGCTAAACCATTCAGTAGTCTCTCTCTCAGCTCCCTCTAATTCAGTACCCTTTTGTTTTACCTAAATACTCCACAGATTATTAGAAGGGGGCAAGAGAAAGACCACAAGAGTGAAAGAAAGTTTGGTTTCTGGCTAATGGTTCCTCTTTTTGTCACAGTTTAAGTAAAACATGCATTGACCTGTTTGGAACTTGGAAGGACAAATGCAAAACTAGCAGAGCTGACAGGCCTTACTTTCTGTTGCCTAATACCTGTTTTGTTGTCATTCAGTGTGTCCTTAGCCTTGTCATTTGTATTGTTTTGGACAAGTGATTGAAAGATAATGATTTTTGAATTCTTTTTTCAAGAGCCTTTGTAATCCCAATCTCTGCAGCAGGCTGTCTAACCTACTCTTTGTAATCTGGGAGGAAAATGCTTCCAAAATATTTGTTTATAGCCAAATTTCAGTGAAAGCCTCTGGTACAGGATGCTAAGACATTTCTTTTTAGATGCAGAAAATGAATTTTCATTTCTTATGAAAATTTGACCCTGAATAAGAAACAAAATTTCCCCAGGGCAACATAGCTAAAAAGTAGATTTGACTTGAGTCTGTATTACATTAGCATGTCACTTTTTAAGCAGAATTATTCAGCCTCCACTCAACGTTAGAACTGTAGGAATTTAAGATGGAAAGGATGTGTCTGTGCAACTACTCTTCACAGTGAATTCTTGAGGGCTCCTTCCTAATTGAATGATCCATTTAGGCAAGTGGATTATCTTACCTGATTGTGTGAAACTATACAGACCACAGTGAGAACTCTCCTCAAAATGGTAGAATTCATGAGTCCTGTAAAGAGAAAAAGCATTTCTGTGTTATCTTAGTATTTTGATGTGGCTTTTCAAATGCAGCAATATCTGCAGCTATTTAAAATGAAACATGGAAGATAAATACTCCTATTCCTAGTGGTAGGTAGCTGTGAACGATGGAAAGGAAGGAAAGACGGAAAGGAAGGAAAGTCAATTATAGGTCGATGGAATCTCAAGAAGTCTATGAAAATATTATTCTTTCATTTGTTTTGAAAATAAACACAACGTATTAGAAACTGAGCAGGATTTCCTACAGTGTTAACTGTTAATGTAAGTACTAATAGATCATTTTAAGGCTAGAAGGTACCATTATGAACATCTAGCTTAGAATTTAATGTAAAAGTTCCTGCATCATGTTTGTAACTTATGACTGGGTCACAGTATATATTTATGAAGACAAAAATACCTTGGTGTAAGGGCTGCAGATGACTGAGAATCCATCAGTCCATCATTAAACTGTTTCCAGGCCTAATTGCTTCACTCTTATAAAACTATATTTTATTTCTTGTCTGAATTTTATTTGAATTTCCATTCCCAGCCAACAAGCTCTGTAGTCCTATCAGACTAAAGATCCCTTCTGCCAGGCTTTTCATGATCTGAATCATTAAAACTTCACTAAAGAGCTCACAAGCTTATTGTCAGCCTATCCAAATTAGTTTGACTCCATGGAAAAGGTACTGTGAGTCCAGCCTTCATGTGAACATGCAGTATGTTTGTTACTCCTTGGTTATTGTCATGAAGTAAAAGTGTGCATAAGGACAGGTACTGTGGGGTAGCTCGTGCGCTGTGAATACACATGCAAGAAACTTCACAGCATGCTAGATGTCATGGTCTGGATGGGTGGACAATCAGATGGGTAAAAAGTGGTTGGGTGATTGGGCTCAGAAAGTCGTGGTCAGATCTTGAGTTCAGTCGAGTAGCGGAAGGGTCTGTCCTGGGACCTATCCTGTTTAACATCTTTATCAATAACCTGGAGGAGGTGAAGGACTGCTTGCTCATTACATTTGCAGATTGCAGCCAACTGGCAGGACTTGTCCGCAAGTTCTAGGTCAGGACTGCCATCCAGAGGCACCTAAATAGGCTGGAGGAAAGAGACAGTGGGAACCCAGTGAAATTCAAATTCACTGAAATTCAAAGGCAAATAAATGACAAGTCCTGCACCTGGAGAGGAAGAACCTTTGGCAACACCACCACCAGCTGGGCAGTGGCTGGCCGGGGAGCAGCCCTGCTTATAGGGTTTTGGTAGACAGCAACTGAACGTGAACCAGCAGTGTGTCCTGGCAGCAAAGGCGGCCAACAGTATGCTGAGATGTATTAACAAAAGCATGGCTAGTTGATCGAGGGAAGTGATTATCCCCTTTTATGCAGCAGTCATTAGACCATATGCATGGAGTCTTGAACTCCCAATACAGGAAATGACATGGAGTGATTTGGATGACCTCCAAGGTGGTGAGGGAACTGGAGCACATGCCCTGTGAAGAGAGACTAAGGTAATGGGGCGTGTTCAGCCAGAAGAGACAGCTTCAGGGAGACCAAATATCAGCCTGCCGGTACCTACAAGAAGATCATGAAGAAGATGGAGCTGAGCTCTGCACAGTGGTGTGAAGCAGGAGGACAAGAGACAGTGGCCATAAATGGAAATAAAAGAAGTTCAGACTGGCTATAAGGGAAAACTCTTTCCCCGTGAGGACAGTCAGGCATTGGAACAGGTTGCCCAGCGAGTTCGTGCAATTCTCCATCACTGGAGGCTTTCAAAGCCTAGCTGAATAAAGTCCCGATGAACCTCATCTGACCTCGTGTCTGTCCCTGCTTTGAGCAGAAGTTTGGACTGGAGACCTCCTTAGGTCCCTTCCAACCTGGATTATCCTGTGATCCAGTGCTCTCTATGGTGGAGAGGACAGAATGTGGCAGGTCTGAACATCTCTGCAGAATGACGTTTTCCAGTTCAGTTCAGAGTGGAACTGAGCAGAAATGAACTGAACTTCTCAGGCTTCAAGACTAGATCCAGATATCTCTGTGTAAACAGTATTAAACAACTAAAGCAACACTAAGACTGTGACCCAGCAGGGTAGTTAAGCGTGTGCTTAACCCTAAGCATGAATAATCACACTGAAATCAAGCCTCACATTGAAACTTGCAGTGCAGCCCAGGGTCAGCAAGGTAGAAAGTTTGCTTCAAGCTATGCTAGCTCCACACTCCCCCCACTCCATTGCTAGGTTCAGTGGTAGAGCACTTAGGCATGTTTACCTATGAGCTGAGCATATCTGGTATCACAGCCTGTTAAGAGAAACATGTCACTTTTACAGTCCAGGGCAACATTTATAAATAAAAGACATGAGTAACTTTAGGCCCTGATCCAACAATGTACTTAAATGTGTGTGAATGCCCTTAAGCCCAGTGGACTTTAATGGAGCTATTCAGATGCTGGAAATTATGCATGTGTTTACATGGGCTGTGGGACTTGGTGCCAGTGGGGTGAGATCTGCAGTGGAAAACTCAGATGATGGGTCCAGAGAGACAAATATTCCCGTGTGTGAGGCATGTGTCTGTAAGTAAAATCTGCTTTGGGGATGGGCTGATGTTCATCCTCTATAAAACAGAATTTAAATGGTTCTCGGACCACAGTAGAGAGGTGAATTCTACCCTGCACCCAGATAACTATTTTTCAACTGATGCACAAAGCAGATGTTGCATTTAAAAGGGAATACTCAGCCAAACTGGAATTAGTTCAGTATCTTGCAGAAAGCAGTTGGAGCCACAAAATAATGTTCACAAATAAAAACTTCAAAAAAATTACTTGCAACATTTACTTTTGCCAGGGAAATGTAGCTGAGTGAACCCTGCAACCAAGAACTGTGAGACAGTCTACTGCAGGTTGGGACTGCACCCGGTGTTACGTATTAAGTGGTCCATTTCTCTAGAGATTTAGATCAGATGCACTGGGAAACAAAATTTTGAACTGATCCATAAGAAAATATTAGAGATAATGTTTTGGACTTTGCAGGGCAAAAGGGCTTAGGTAGATACTCTCTGTCTAGTCTAGGGGTTGGCATTCTGCTGTAGATCACCACTCTGCATCCAGACTGTGTTTGCAGCGACTGAAAATTATTAATGTCTCATGACTGTGGAGTGACCTTTAGGGAGCCAGTTCCTGTTCTCAGCCTGCTTTTGCAGTGGGTTTGTTTTAACCATCTCCACTTGGGGGACTTGCCAGCAGATTCAGCTGAGAGACCAAGTGTGTCATGAAAAAAAGTTTCTTCTTACTTTACTAGAAACTCATTTCTAACCTTAAACCTTACAAGTTACCTGCCTTAACACTGAAAACCCTGTCTGTGAGAGACAGCTGCCCCCCCCAACGTCTGAGAGACTTACAGCCTCCATCATCCTGTCCTGCCTATGCCCTACTTTACAAAGTTCATTGAAATCAGACTGTGTATCCATGACAGACCTCACAAGTATTTCATTTCCTGATGCACGAGATAGTCCCACATGGGTCATGGAAAGGGAGATGCCTCTGGCTAGACAGGTCCTGTGATGAGCGGGAGGCACGCTGGAGCAGAGCTGCAACACTAACTGCCACCAAGGACACGTGTGCCTCCCTGCACTTCTCTTTTGGGTTAGATTCCTGCAAGCTGGCAAACCTCCCTCTCCTTCTGGTCCTGCTGCTGGAGCCTGCATGCCAGGCACAGCTGCAAGGCAGATCAGAAGTGAGGTTGATTGGCTGTGTCTGGAAAATTGGGTTTTGCATTGGGAGAGTTGGCAGTGTTGCAAATTCATGAGAGGGAGGAGTAACACTGAGGGAGGAAGAGGTGGAAATCATCTGTATAGATCACACACTGCATGAGTGAGACTGTGGGTCCGCAGGAGAAGACTTTGGGTACAGTGCCACCCTTTACGTTAGTCTGTGTCTTTGCATGCCCTCAGGTGGGAGACTTGAATAAAAAGATCTTTGCAAAGTTTGATGCATAGAGAAGACCCTATGGATGCTGAGACCAGAGCTGATTTTGGGCTCTGGAGCCCCAGCTGGCCTGGGAGGAGTCGCAGTCAGCTGGTGTATGCGTGCAAGTCCCGGCAGGCATTCTGCAAGCCTGATACTGGTTCTGAGTGAGAAATCTGAGAACACACTACAGATCTGATATCCTGAGCAGCATATCGTCCCCATGTGTTGCCTCAGGTCAGACTCATGTTTTGACTAGAAGGACTCTGAATATTTTGTTGTTCATGCTGCCAGCTGCCTGCAACACCCTGTCCTAGTGTGCAGACAAATGCCTTTACCTTCAGTCTAGCAAAGCAGGATAAATTGCTGTCCCTTGATAGGTCCATTAAGCAAGCCCTAGAAATCATCACTGGACTCTTATATGAAAGATCTTGCAAAGCCAACATGCAGGGATTCAGTTCTGTTCACCAGACAGGCTGGCATCTGAAATAGAGAAAAAAGAGACACAGAGAAAACAAGATGGTGCTGTTCCCGGGGGAAGATGGAGATAGTTTACTGGAAGAATCACAGCCACTGGTGGAGTCTTTTTCCCAGGCTCTGGGAGCCACCCTGGCCAAGTTGTGCTGGGGATTGGCTGCTGCCCCCTTCGTATTAATTTCTTCAGCTAAATGGTTTCTTCTGAGTATGTGAATATAATCAGTGGAGTGTGTAAAACTCCCAGGTTTGACCCTTGCTGGGCTCAGTGCTTCTTGTGGTATAAATTTCTCAAGCATAACATAAATGTGTAATGGATTAAAGCTTTAATAGTATCCGTTCGGCAGTTGACTTAAGCAGGTGATGACAAGAGGGGCTGGTAATGCTGCTTTTGTTGGATGAAGGATATGCTGGGCATGCTGCTTATGTGTAACCCAATAGCACTATTCTGTTCCGAGTGGTCCTTGGTGGTAATTATTCCTCATCCTACTTCCTTTGTCCCCCCCTCATTTGCCTCCAAAATGTCATTCTCCTGCTGAGGATGGGCAGGCACACACTTATCATTCCCTGCTGAGCTTGCTTGCCCTCAATAAATACATTCCAGGCTTATATTCAGGGCCTCTGGCCTAGCTCTCATCCTCTGCGTGGAGGGCATAACTCCTGTTCCGCAGCCAGCGTAAGCAAGGCATGGCCTGTTCAGACCCTTCCCAGCAGCAACCGGCAGTGCTCCCATGGAATTTTAAAGATGCAGCGACAAAGCACTGCTCCCTGGTCCTTCTGTGTACACAGCCAGTGGGGAGCTCTCCCTTTCTGTTGTTATTAACCCAAAAGGTGTTTGCTGCTGGATCATTTCCAGTTCCTCAAGCACGCTGGGAATCTGCAGCAGAGCTGGTCTCACACTGCAAGGTGGTGCTCGCAAAGACTTCTTCCCAGTGTGACTCCATCCCTCCTTATTGCTTTGCTTTCATAGACAGGCTTGTAGTTGTATTTTTGTTGGGAGGTCTGCCTGGGAATAGCTGTGTGTTGTACACACAGGAAAATGCTTGGACACCTGTATGTGTGCATGAGATAGAATCATAGAATCATAGAATCATAGAATCATTAAGGTTGGAAAAGACCTCTAAGATCATCGAGTCCAACCGTTAACCCAACACCACCATGCCCACTAAAGCATGTCCCTAAATGCCTCATCTACATGTCTTCTAAATACTTCCAGGGATGGTGACTCAACCACTTCCGTGGGCAGCCTCTTCCAATGTTTAACCACTCTTTCAGTAAAGAAATTTTTCCTCATGCCCAATCTAAACCTCCCCTGGCGCAACTTGAGGCCATTTCCTCTTGTCCTATC